TTTCATAATGAAATTAAAAAAAAAAAAGCCATGAGATAACAAAAAGTGTATCTCCAGCAAAAATTTCTTCAATACTGAATAACATGGAATCCCTCTTGGTCACTTAATACTCACTTGTAAGAGAGAAGTACAATTTTATCCAGGAGAATGTATCTCCATTTAAAAAAAATGTCGTTTTAGTTTCACACAGAAACCTCGGATTTAACTTTATGCCCAACACAAAAAGTAAAAGTAAAAGGCTATCTGGTTATTTCCATAAATCTGAAACAATGGACAAAATTTATTACGTCTACTTCCTCGTCAATATAGCCCTATTACAAATTCTCTTCATGCCCAGTTACTGTGGATATAACGCCAAACTTCAAGAAAGTAAGGATATTTATGAGATAGAACCTCTTCTTATTTAAACACCAGCCTCCCGTAAATCTGAGCCAATCTGAAAACTACTCAAACAACTTCATTTCCAAGAATGACGCAATGATCATTCAAACCAATGCAGTCAGTATGGCATTGAGTTAAAAGTATGTTTCCCAATGTTTTTCTCCCTACTAGTACAGTGAAACCATCAGAAAATGGTTGTTACCAAGCAGATTAGAGTGGATTTTTAAGCACATGAGTATTGTACCAATAACGTTTGCTACAGGTTAGGTATTTAACATGAAAAAAAAAAAGGAGAGCAAACCGGGAGCTTTCTGTTCCGAAGTAACTCAAGAAATAATCAAGACATTCATAATTTTTTAAAGAGGGATGCTTTTACATTTCTGTACAAAACAAATGTTCACAGCCTCCCTGTTATCACAAAACATGACGTGAAAGAAATGACAGTCCTCTTTTTCCTCTTTGTGCTCAAAGGCACGCTGTTTTATGCTGCAGTGGAGCACTCTCTTCACTTTGGCACAAAAGTTAAAATAATCCTTTTCAGGAGCTTCAAGAGCAACACAACTAAAAAAACACATCATAAAGACTTGCATTTTGGTGTTATCTGATCACCTCAGAGTTAGATCTTCAAGCAATCACAAATTTGATGTCTGGACACTCAACAGAAAGTGAAGAAAATGTAGAGGCTGCTTTAAGTGTGGCCCTGAAACTTCTATCTAGAGACAGAAGTGAAAACTCTTCATACCAGAGGACTGTGATAGTTGATAGGGCAGAGTACTGAACCCAGGACCTTGCAGCTTTGATGAGGGTACATTTTTCCACAGGAATATATCTAAAAGAAAACATTTCTTACAATTTAGAGAGATGGCCTGACATCGAACACAGGTTATCTCTTGCTGACCCTATAGCACTCATCATCCAAGCCATCTGTTTTCACCATCGCAATCTCTCTGGTACAAGTAATAAGTTAATACATAGAATAACAATATACACATTTTTTAGAGAATGACATTGAAAATTCCCCCCCCAAAAAGAGCTTCTTGAGGGAGATAGTATTTGCACATGGAGGTTAGGCCAAGCTCATCACTGGATAAAGGAGACAGAATGTTGAAGTTCTCACCAAACCAAACAGCATCATACATTCACATAAGTACACATACTTTTATCTTGTGCCCATCTTTTGCACTGGGCTTTTAAAGGATAGTGGCAACCACAAACAGTTCTGTGGTATCAATCAAAGTCAAAGCACCATGTGAGTGGGAACCCAGAAAAACAGTGTCAGCCTCCACCTAATACTTCTCCTAGAACAAGAAAATCGCACAAGAATGAACATCAATATAATTTATACAGTATAAATGACAACACAGATGAGCATACATGTTAGTTTCAAGATATACAATAGTATGGATTCTTATTCATCATTTTGAATTATGTTTAACTTACAAAGAGGAAAATACATTCAGAATAGCTACCTCTTTCCCAGACCGTGCAGTAAATGAAAAATATAGTTTTCCAATTGTCATCAGCAAAAAAGATGTTCTTTAACAAAACTGACTAGCATGGCTTTATTCTAAGAACATTTTACATCTCATGGGAAAATATTGAGGGTGATTCAATACAGTAGTCTCCGCCTAAACACACGCCATACAAAAGCATGCTCCGCTCAAACGCACGTTTTCATCATCTGACGGGCTTTTTACTATATAATTTAGACATTCAAACGCAGGGTCACTCCCTCTAAACGCACGCTCCGATCCGCGAAACACACCGACAAGTTAAGCTTGGCAAGGGGAAATTTTCACTACAACCTGCGCAGCCTGCATAAGACAAGCCTAGAATTTACTAGAAAACCGGATATTTGGTGAGAGTGCCCCTCACGCCGGACAAAGAGAGTGATAGACAGCGTTTACACACCCTACTTTCCACTGACGCATAGGTCTCAGTCTCGGGCTGGTCGGTTAAATGTTAGGGGGGGGGGGGGGATGTTTTTTGATTGGTCACTGGAAATGTATCTTTGAGAGAAGGTTTCTGACTGGTGTTTGAGTTTGAGTGACTGTGTGTAATGTTTAGTTAGATCTATGCCTGATGCGCAAAATGCGTAAATGCCGTAAAACCCTAGACAGGCCTCTTTACGATTAAAGATTAGCCAAGTAACCCTTATAAGCTGCGCTCGAAGAACTTATAATGTACATGTACTTGTTCAACAAATCACAAGATAAAATGTTTCTCGAGGATGATTCTGCATGAATTTACGGTCGGGGGCCGTCGTTTGGAAGCCACGTGGCTGGTCCGTCGTCTCTATGACTATCACCACCAAGTTTCCTCTTAGGCAATCTGTTCTCGACTTTTATGGTGCATATTCATTACTTTGAGTTTGCCCCCCCCCCCCAGGTCAACGCCTTTGTATTCTTAACCCCTGTCTTGGGAACCCTTCACAAAACAGTCATGTGTCGTCACACTATCAGCCAAAATGACCCCCTCCTCCAAGGGAGATCACCAGAGTAATAAGGAATTGAGATGACTGCGTACCTTTCTCCCTTTGCAAAGGTTCATGTAAATGCACGCTTCATATAAACACACGCTCAGGAGCCCTCCCGAGCACCGTGCGATTAGGCGGAGACTACTGTACCGGTACTCATAAAAATAAAATTGTGTGAGCAAGATGAGAGCCATCTCTTTTGGAAAAAGCCCTTAGAGAACCATCAGTGATCTCAATCACAAATAAGCATAAACCTTTTGCAACTGTTTGATCTTAAGCTAAAGAAATAAACGATTAGATATTCCGGACCAAGTCCAATATTCAATACTTGGGACAGTCTTAAATTCTTGTGTTCAGAAACTTTTAATATAATTTTGAAGGCATCTTGTCCGACTTGTCAAAATGAAATTTAAAGTAGGGGCTTAACAGCATTGCCCATTTTGACTTATAACTGATGATAGGTGAAAGTAAATGGTTACTATTGTACGTTTAAGTTTCAGAAGATGATGGTTGAAAGCCACTTATCGCATTGAGTAACATAAACAAACTTCAGGGCACTACATCACTAACATACTGACAGCTAACTCTGGAAGCACAAACCACTTAACTGACAGCGTAACCTTACACAGAGATAGTGGAGACTCTTCAAACCGAGCTTTACTTTAGTTTATGCTACAGTCTAGTTCTAGTGGTGTCTACTTAAAAACAAGGATGTCCTTGGAGGTGGTGAAAGAATCATTTTGTACAACACATTAATTGACTGTAAATGTTATATATCCCCATCAGCATAATGTAGATCATTTATATAGAGTGGTCAAAAATCTGTTACGCAACTTATTATCAAATATCTCCTCAACTATCGAACACATTCTCCAACTTTTGTACAATGACTTGTTTGTATTGAAGCAGACTGCCCTTGAAATGATCTAAACTGTGTTGACATAAAGCATATTACGATCAATCATTATATTCAGCTTTGTGTAAACTTTCATCACTTTGCGACTCAACCAGCTTGATGCCAAACAGTTGAAACAGTCGTCTCATGACAAAGACCACAAGTTATGATATCTATTGCTTCACTTTGCAAGATCTCCCTGAATCATTTGTCTAATAGAACAATCCCAGAGGAAACATCAGCGTCCTCATAGGCCTACAGGCTTGTTCACGAGTTTGAAAAAAAAAGAAAAAAATTAGGAGATAATCTGTTTTAAAAAATCAACGTCAACGAAGGCAGAGCATAGTGTTTGTACCTAATACATGTAAAACAAATGGAAATAAATCAGCATCATGCATCAACAGGACTAGCAACTCGGGGTGGGGACGGCTGAAGGTTGATTCTGGCGTTGCGTGCTGTCAGTTCTCTCTGCAGTTCTTCCAATTTCCTCTGAAGCTGTGTCTTCAGCACCAGTAGTTCACGATTGCGTATGTGGATTGGTTCCTAGGGAAGGAGAAGGGGAATGACTTCATAACTGACATAAAATACAAATACAACAGGTAGCTTTAATGTGCATGTACATGAGAGAGAGAGAGAAGGTGACTGTGGGCACATGCGAGGGCCAATGTGCATCTACAGTATAAGCTGCACCCTGAAAATGCAAAATAAAAATTGAGTCACAGTCTGAAATGAGTCTGTTCGAATGGCTGAAAATGCCAACAATTCGACCCAGAGGAGAAAACCATTGCCCAAATTATAGCCTTTCTATGCCTGGAGGTCACATTAAGAGTTTAACAATGCTAAAGGGTTGACATAAAAAAAACCTCACAAACTGAGAGCAGGAAAGAAGCAGGATGCTTAAGAGGCAGTATTAGTGTTACAATGGTTGAAAAGTGAGTGAAGTTGATACACAAGAAAACTTCAACTTCCAAGCACTTTTGAGTGATAACAGCAGCAGTTAGAAGGTTCTTGTTGCACTTCAACTTTAGCCCAAATAAAGATGAAGCCCTGAGACAACCAACAAGTGTATGCAAGTGGAAAATTCATAGCATTTTCATAATCAGTGAATCAAAACAAGTCATAATAACTTGAGGAGCTTAATCTGAAGCTGAATTACGAAGATATGTTTTATTTTATCTGCACTCTCTTCTCCAACAGACAACACATTGCACGTTGTATTGTTCCGCTTGCGTCACACCACTCCATGGCAGGTATACATATTCTTTGTTTTTATCTGGAGATCTGCATTTTTGTGGTCGTGCCTTTAACGGGAGATGTACACGATACGAGGAAAATTCTAGGGGTTTGACTTCCTTTCAATTTTTAAAGGTGATATAGGGTGATTATCGACTAATTAGAAGAATTAGGAAGGAATTTTTAAAGTTTTATTAAAAAGTTGGTCTCTGTGGCGGCCATCTTGGATTTTTTGCCATTTTGCGGGGAAAGACGTTTTCCACCGAAAATGCTGGAATAAAAGCCTCAAACTTGGCACACAAATACACAAACCTATTATCTGTGATCCGATGGAAAAACAAAAAAAATATTTATATTTCACCGGACGACTTCCGAAAAAAGGGGAAAAGTAACACAAAATCGAGAATATTTTAAAAAGTAGTTCATATTTCGCAAAATACTCACATCGGATCACAAAATAGACTATATAGGTCCTGTGTGCCAAATTTCAAGTTTGTAGCTCAGATAGGCTTTAAAAAACCTCTATCCCCGCATAGTCACTATAACGAAAACGTAGTTTTTGAGAAAAACGCAAAAAAAAAAGCCCACACCGATTTGACGTCAAAGTTTGAAAACCATAGTTTTTTAAAACAATAAATTTGATATTTTTAAAACGTTGGCCCCTCTTTTATATATTAAATGGAATTAATAAGGTTATATGTTCATTTCCCCCCGAAGTAAGCATTCAATGACAGGTGAAAATGACCACCTTCAGTAAGTTATAGTTAGTTACTACCCTTGACCAGTCACGTACAAATCAGAACAATTGTTCAGTAAATTGCTCCGAGATTACACCAACACATATATGCATACACATATACACCAACAATCAAACAAACAAACAAACAAACACACATACCCACTGACACACTGAGTGTGGGTGAGTGAGTGCACGCGCATGTGTGTGTTAGTCATGTATCCCAACTCTGACGAAATCCAACCAAGTGCTCACATTTTAAAAATCAGTCAAGGGCACTGTAAATTGATTTAGGAAAATGAGAACCATTTGTGAATTTAGTCTGACAGGAGGATCCCACTACTGGTTACAGAAGTTCTGGGCTGTCAAAGAATGCGCTTTATGTGGCGACAGTCATGAGAGACACACTCCCTCGTTCGGCGTTAAAACGTGATTTACTGCCTTCTGACGCTGCTCTCGAAGAATTTTATTTGTTGAGCAATGTGCTCCACGTTTTGCCTAAGTTCACAATGGCTGGGAAAAGTCTGGACACACATCTGCACCACAGTTGGAAGTCCAATGGGTTCAGGCTGGGATTGTGTGAAGCTCAGGCACAAGGTATACCACAACTTCTGTTGAAGTGATTCTGGTTCCACTCGATGACTAGAGCTTACAGTGTGCTCATTCTTGCTTGAACCACGGTCGTTTCCGCTCCTGAGGTCCCACATAATCTTCCCAATGATATTCAAAACCGATCAAGAATCTTCACATATTGATCTACTACCACTGTTGCTACTCCATAGTCTTCAACCATGAACTAGTTCAGGCCAGTTAATCCTACTGCAACCCACGTATTCTGTGTGTGCAGGTTATGGTCAACGACGTTGTTTGGTCTTTCTGAACTCCAGTGAATGTCATTTTTTGTGTTCACGTCTCTGTTCAAACAAAAATGGGCTTCATCACAGAACCACTCTTTCTTATGGATGAATTATCATTATCTTTATCCTCAAGAAACCATAGCCACCGTTTGATCTGTCCCCTGGCGTGGGAACAAGAAATGACTTGATTTATCGAAATGGCATGCCTTCAAATCGAGAGTGTGTATTAAAATTCGGTCAACAGAAATTTTTAGAAAGATGGAGTTCAACTCTCGGACGACTAACCATGTCATTCACTTTTCCTTTTGTTAGACACAGAAACACACGTCCGGCCTTTTGAAATCTACATACCTTCCACGGATAGTGTTGTTTGATGGCAGACGGCAGCCCATCCTATTGTTGATTTTCGACGATAACGTTTTGTTCTATGAGGCATGCCATTTTCACTTATTATCCTATCCTGAGTCTCAAGATCTGCGCTTGTCTTGTTGCCCCTCCCCTTTACTTTACTTGTCCAAAATTGATAGCTTTCCATCTCTGACCGAGTTCCCCCGTTTTTGTCGTCACGCACCGTTACGTCTTTTTCCCACACCAATTCAATCTGTCTTGCAAATTTGGGAGTTCAGACTGTTGCTGCTATGGTCAGGGAAGAAAGAGTACACAGTTTGATGTGATCCCGTCTGGAGCGAAGTTAGGTGGAGAGCTCAGATGCTACTGCGATGTGTAGCGAAAACAAACGCGTCGGTCAGTTCCCACCTCGGTGTGATCCCGTCTTGAGCTAAACATTGTACCGTTTCATCGAGTTTTACAACGCATGTGATCACATTCACGAGAGTGGCTGATCTTTAACGCGACGGGCAGTTCAATGATTGCAACTTTTCACTCATGGTTGATCGGCTGTGTCCGCCCGGCTCTTGGTTCCGTACATTATGATTTGAAATGCGGCATCTTAGCTCAAAGTTGACCGTCAGAGTGAATCAGAACGGGATCTTATGGGTCACTGTTTTGTAGTATAATTTTGTTTTCTTAATTAAAACAGAGGGCGATCATATACGGAGAGATCTTAGGCGGACACTAAATCATAAGATGTAATCCGTATTTTTCAACTTATTAACTTTCAAATTTGATGACGATCGTGTAACAAATAACTGTCAAGAGCTTTGGATTGAATTTACTAGCGTCGGAACAACTGATACAGTGTGTGTGTGTGTGTGTGTGTGCGTGTATGAGTGTGTGTGAGCGTGTGTGTGTGTGTGTGTGTGTGTGTGTGTTTATGTGTATGTGTATACATATATACGTTCACCCATGTGGTTCCCGGGGCCCTGTCCAAGAGACAGAGGAGCAAAGAATAGGACCACTGTATCCGTACCGCGCATTTTGTGGAAGGCGACTAAGGTCGGTTGGGCAAAGGATTAGCAGCCCTTTCCCGTAAAACAAAAAGCAGCCACAAAAACGTCAACAACAAAAACAACACGACCGCCAGCTTTGAAGGATGGAGGACCTTCATCATCGAGGAGAGGAGAGAATAATATGGAGAATAGAATGACAGGGTGATGAAAGCCGAAAAGAAGCCACCAAGCTGAGAAACCTCCTGTCGACCAGAAGACCAAAGATGATAGAGAGGCGAGTGGTATGCGGGAATGGAAAAGGCGGGGACATCATGGAAACAGCTAGAAAAGGAGGCACAGGACAGGCTTCAGAAATGTTGTTGATGGCCTATGCTCCACTGCGAGTTGGAAAGGGCAAGATATATATATATATATATATATATATATATTATGCATAATATATGTATGCATAAATAATATATCAGTGTCTGTGGTGTAGCGGTTATGTGCTTTTCCGTTGCACGCAGAAGACCCACGTTTGATTCCCAAGTAGAGAGAATCTTTATAGGGTATCTCGGTCTTTCTTCTGGGATGTTGTTTCCTAATCAGCCCAGGTTGGCCCTGATAAACAGGATTGAGAGTTTGCCTTCTAAATGATCCAAGTTGTGTTAACGGAGGTGTAAAACGCCTATCTTTCAAAATGTAAATAATATGTATGTATAATATAGAAAGACACGTAACACGTACACATACACAGAGAGAGA